ACTAATCTGCGTGGGCGCATGGACCGCGGGGCTGAGCACTTCCACACACAATTCAGTCGGCCTTCTCGTTTCTTCTGTCAAATAAGGAGCCTAACTTACGCGCCTTGGAACGTTTCACGGGAATCATCCACCAAAGTGGAGGTCCGTTTTGAGCTCCGTCACTTGAAGCGATTCAAAGCTGTTGGCTCAGACGGACTTTCTCCGGAGCTGTTCAAGTATGGTGGCGAGGCAAGTATCAATCAGTTAACAGCTTCGTCTCGTAGATCTGGTGTGAAGAAACGGTCCATCCTCTTGGGACGAGTCGATCATGGTACCCGCCTTCAAAAAGGGTGCTCGTGCTTCATGCGCCAACCACAGAGGAATCGGTCTAATCTCCGTCGCCTCCATCGATTCGAGACCTACACTCCCAGGAGGAACAAGCTAGTTTCCACCCCGGTCGTGGGTGTGGACATGTTTACGCTCCGCCAACTCTTCGAGCAGCGCCACCTTTATCACCAGCCTACCATTGTCGTCTTCTTGGACATCCGAGCTGCGTTAGATTCAGTCGATGGCGTTGTCTGCAAAGGAATGGGGTTCCCGAAAAGTACAGCCATATTTCGGGCTTTATACAACAAAGTCTCTGACAGAGTGAGGGCTTACGGCAACTTTTCTACACGTTTCACCGTCTTTAACGGTGTTCGACAGGAATGCCCCATATCCCGTTTCTCTCCATCTTTGCGATTGAAGATGTCATATTAAGCGCTCTGGAAGATTTCCAAGATTCTTGCCTTTTCTTCCAGGCAACCGCATGGCTGACTAGGACTTTACTGATGATTTTGCCTTGCTCGGGTGACGACCCACAGATCATGCAGGTCATTCTAAACCGCTTGGCGCTTGAAACTACCAAGTATGACATGATATTCGCTCCATCGAAATGCAAGGTTCTACTCCAGGACTGATATCCACCTGCCCCCGTATTGATTCTTGAAAGCGTGCAGCTTGTACAAGTAGATAGCTTCATCTACCTTTGGAGCTGCCTTTCTTCTGATGACACTATTGGAAGAGAGATTTCCCTCCGCATTGCCAAAGCCCGATCGGTTTTCGCTGATTTGAGTCATCTGTGGTGTCGTCGTGAGGTTTCATACTGAGTGAAGGGCAGGGGGTATAATGCGTGTTCGCGCGGTCCTGTTGTACGGGAATCCTAACAAACCCGTGTAAATGATTTGAGTCGGATTACGGGCTTTGACAGTGGTTGTCTGCGGAGGATAGAGCGTATGTGGTGGGAACACCACGTTAGCAACGACGATGTTAGACGTCGCGTCCTAGGTTCTACGGGCCTACCTATTAACAAGCTGATATCGCTGCGCCAGATGAGATGGTTAGGTCACGTCCTACGCATGCCGTGCGAGCGTATACCATGGTAGGCTCTATTGGCTCATGCAGAGCCGCACAGGAAGAAACCACGCAGTTTCCAACCTACTACATGGCGACAAAAGGTTAAGGCACTGACTTCCATTCTAATAATAATAATAAAATAAATCGCCAGCTGTACGCCGTAACGGCGCTTCGCTGCCACGTGACCACCACCAGTCGCGCGTGGGCTGAGTATACCGCGAGGACGCCTGTCCCTACGCGGATTCGAATTGGTGACCTTATGGTTGCAAACCAGACGCGCATACCACTCGGCCACCGGCCGACGACTTCCATTCTAGTTGTTGTCGGCCCCAGACATCTTCTGAGCTGGGGAGTCCAAGATGGCGAACATTGCTGGTTGGAGACTCTTGAGGACATAGCGTGTAATCGCGGACAATGGAAGGCTTGCATGAGTCTATGCATCGATTCAACTGATCAGCCCGGTAATCACAAAACTGACAAAAAAGACAAAACGGCGTGTGAAAAACCCAAAACGTCTATATCTCGGAATACGCTTGGAGTCGACTAAAGTCTCATGATTTTAGAAGGTTTTGAATACAAATCGGTTTTCGTAGGATTTCATTATGGCAACACTTCGCTCTTGACGCAAGAGCTTCTTCAGGCCAGGTGAATCGGTGCACAATTGACTTAGCTTTTTATGGGAAAGCATGGTGAAGATTGCAAGAAATAACATAATAAAAATTTATGTGTACGTTTTCCTCTTTTTAATCTGCGCTTATTATACACATTCATCCCATGATTTATAGATGATTCGAAGTCTATTATATAGACTGCTGCGAATATATATATTTTTTGAGGTAAAGGTGAGTGTAAAATCTCGAGAACTTTCGCAGGTCTTTTGGCATTTTGAAAGCAGAAATCAAGGCTGACATGGGCCACATAGTAGTGAGCAAAGTGGCAAGGTAAGCCACTAGTCAATAGTCACTACTTCTTGGTAACCATGTTAAAACGTCATTAAACATTAGTTCGCACTGGGTATAGTCGATGGTAGAGAATGCTGCGTCAACACGTATGGGGGGCTAGGTGGTTCAAACAACAATCGCGATAGCGGATGGGCGAGAGTTTTCTTCAAAGTGTTTAAATAAGAGATTGAACGTCCCATTAACGGGAGATCTTCATGAGTTGTGATATCACCCAAGCATTTGCAAGAGAACTGGTCTCACTATCACATGGGTTCTCAACATTTATCAACGCTCGGGTCAATTATGAAGATCTGAGGGAAAGCGTTTTGGGGCTGTAAGCAAACCGGAAAAGAATTCTCAGCAGAACCATCGTTCAGGCTCAAGTAAACTAGCCGTAGCCTCAAAATACTGTTGTAACGCTGCACTTTTGACTCTCTGCCTCACTGCGTTACCAACCAGCCGGGGAAAACAAAACGCAGAGCCTGCTAGACCGAAGTATATTAGGCACAGAACATGGCTACTTTTATAGGTCACATGCGCTTACCTCGCTGCTATCACTGAGGTGACTCACATCTCTTGTCTGAACAGATTTGAGTTTGGTAGCGGCCATCACTGTCTGATTGTAGGTAGGATCACGTCCGAAACATAGCAACCCGAGCGGCAATGACGGTCTGATTTCGTCAGCTTCCGGTTTGACCATGACAACGAGTCTTTCAGTCGCTCACGTGATCTGGCCGATCTCGCCCCGTTAGTGTGCACCATCGTAGCAAGCTTTTCGCCTCCGTGACAAATACCATCCTTCATTCGATTATCCCAAGTTGAACAGACAAGTGGCTTTGAAATCCTACTGTTTATGTCGCATTAGAGGCGAGTTCAGTCGATATCCAGTTAAACTGCTTTGTTTATTGTGAAAAGCGGACGTCAAAATAACAAATTATGCAGCTGATTCGCGATTTGCTTGGTTCAATGATGGGTAGGCTTCTGGTAAAAGCCGAGGTAATGAGGACTACGCGGATATTCATGGGAACTTGGTCAGAAATGAAGTGGGCGTCCTAGAAGAACCTACGGCTTCGGGTTGGTGTGCAAATTCATACTTTATGACAAAAGGATCAATTCGAGTTCTTAACAGTCTGACGTTTGATAAGCGTCATGTAATCCGATCCGAACCATCGTAACGAGACCGGACCTTAATGTGGTGCGATGGTTTGCGTATCTCCGTGACCCAATGAGCTATGCAGGGTTGCACTTTCCAAGCACTTTCAGAGCGACGATGTTTTATATCCAAGTGCACGGTTAGTCAGCAACCAGGGAAGGCTAAACGGCCAAGCGGTTTATTGTGCCTGAAGTCAACTTAGAAGCAGCAGATGTCCAGTGCACGCTTGTGATAAACACCCACTATGTGCACTCGAAACAACGCGCAAACATGCCACCTGGGACTCTGAAGCGATCAGTCGACTCAGTCGCGTATTCATGACCTAGGTAACCTGGGCCAGATTTAAGTCAGCAGCAGAGTACAGTAATGTGCAAGCGTAGTGGTAGAGGGCATCGGGAGCATTGCGTGTGAGGTTGGCGTACGCAAGACAGCAAGTAACAAGCGCGTAAGGTTGTCTGCTGCGCTCGCCTTAACCAAGGGTATCTAACTGAATGCGTACAGGCGGCTACTCAGAGAAAACTCAACCGGTTGAGTAGACAAATTAGAAAAAAGGCGTCAGCAGTACGCCGGTAGGCAGTACCGACACTACGCTGCCGCGCAACCACCACCAGTCGCGCGTGAGCTAGGATACTATGAGGGTCGCCCGGTCCCCTACGCAGACCCGAACTCGCGATCTAAGATTAGAATGCATACATATATTCAATGTGTGAACCGCTTTTGCTACTGGCAAATGAATTTTTATGGAAATAAATGAATCAGTTTCCAATCTCTAAAGTGGAGAATGTTTATAGTGAGCTTGTCTAACCTTAGAATTGTGTTGTCGTCGCAGTGCGGTGTGACCAATAGCACTGTATGGCAATGTTACCTAAACACAGCGCGCTGAGAACGTTAACTAACCATTATTGACCACTGACGCCTGCGAAATATTACTCTTGGCTGGTGGAGAAGCGAGTGAATAACGCCACTTTTCGTCGTTTGACAGCAGACAATTCGGTGGTTCAGTGGAATGCTTGTGGTCTCTAGTCATTTCCGTTATCTAGATAATGTGCTCCGCGTTAATGCAAGTCGGTCACCTGTGGTGTTTACCAATACTGCACCTAGTTCGGCGATACTACGAACAGAACAGTGAATAAGACGAAAAGTGCATGAGGATACTAGCCGAAAGGCGTTTAACAGGGTAACGCAAAACTTCGCATAGTGAACAGTTCTATATCATGAATGACAAGATCAAAGACAAACAGACCTTCAGTCATCAGTCAGCAACCACTTAGAAAACAAGAGGTGGTCATAACGACTACATATTCCGACCGTTAGAGAACGGACACTCAATTAAATCACTAATTCATTAGGGAAATACTTAATCAGGATCTTGCGAAAAATAAAGCAAAAATAGAAAACACAGTGAGCAATTGGAATGCGACAACGAGCAGAAAATTGATAGAAAAGTAGAAGCGTTAAACTGCTGTATACTTGAACTTAAACCAATGGTGCGCCTGGCGGTGCGTTGTTAAGTATGAATTATGTTGGCTTACCAAGAAGACTATCTCCATCTGCCGAGGTAGTCATTAACGTTGGAGGCTGCACAGATCCTCTGTGTGTCCGATAGTCATAAGAAACGCGGCGAGTAGTATCCACGTTGCGTATGTTTGTAGTACCTAACCGCGCCCTGGCAGAAGAATCCCCTTTCAAGTGCGAGGTCCCATGGCTAATAGCCCTGGAAGGAGGAACAAGACTGAGTTGAGAGCTGGTGAAGTGTCTGCCATGGACTACTGAAAGTGAACAAGCACTGACATCATGGCCATGATCCCCAGCCACACGTGCAGGAATATCGGAAGATATCGGGTTGTTGTTTATAAAAGATTTATCGTTCAGCTCTTGCGAATATGGAGAAGAAACCAAGCCGCTGCCAATGTGTGCATTTATACGATTTGCGAGGTTAGACTCATGTGATTTACTCCGGTGCAATGGAAAACTGAGCTTCAAGCGATGTTTAGGTGTTCCCGCTTGTTTACAGTGAGATTCGCGATCAGACACCTGGTGATTGATAGTACTGGCTTGAGATCGCCGCTCGTAGGAAGATAGAATAAATCCCTCAGGTACAACGTGATCGGGTGTTTTCACAGGTGGAGGCGAGATAGCACTCTGGCAGTAACATCTCCCATTCCAAACAGGAGTAGTAGGAACAGAAATACCACCACCGAGTAAATGCAAATCTAAATCCCATGGAAAGCTGGAACTCGCAGGGGATCCGGCATGACTGAAGGTCCGATAGCCGTTTGAAGATATGGACTGGCTGAGACAGTTAGAAGTGCTTGGAGCCGAGCTAAACAACTGGGATGCGTTTTTATGTCCACACGTCGTTTTTGGTGAGCTCTGCAAAGCTGATGGAAAGTAGTGATTGTTAGAGTCAGTGAGCGCTGATTCGGACACGAACACGTTGGGAGGCTTGGGAGAAAAGCATACATTGTCTAGCTTCGGTGGAGCTTCGAAATGAGGTTCAACGCCTGTAGTAGCCAAAACGTCGGATACATGTTCGTCCATGCCCCCGTTGATGGCGTTACTATCGTAGTCTGAACTCAGCGAATGCGGTGGTGTGATGCCATCAGTGCTGCAACAGGGCTGATATACTGTTGCACTATGTTCGTTTTCTGTCAACTGGAGTACAAGTTTGATTAACTTTCTACTATCCTCATCAAGGGTTCGGGAACTTTCAATGAGGTCGATGTTTGCGCGAATTTTTGCTAAACCGGAGAGGACATGTTCAATCTCTTCGTTGGAATCTCCGTAATATTGAAGTATGGTACTGACTTCCACATCCGTCATGTCAAGCAGTTGTAAAAAACCAATTCCTCGTATACGAATCAAACCCTATCTGGTAAAGAGAATGTAATAATTCTCACTTGCGTAGTGTCATCGTTAATCCCGAGACACTTGAAACACGCTTCGGACTTAGGAAACTCCCGCAGGATAGAGTTGCCGATATCTTCTTCGGCGTTACATATTGCAGAAATCTGCTGGGCAAGAAATCCGAACGTTTTGTACTACCAGACAATTAGCGCTGAAAAACGGCGTACCTCTGCATCCTGAATTTCAAGCAAGATTATGTCGCTGCATTGACTAACATGTTTCACTTCTTTGCGCAGTGGCAAGATAATGTTGTCCAGTGTAGCGGAAATCAAATTTTGCAACACTTTGCAAAGCGCACGGGGTGATGCCTCATTGAGCATCCCGATCAAGGGACGTCTGAATGCCCGGACGTGTATAAAGACTCGGAAACAACTGATTGTAATTAGCGAATTTAGTCTTAGTGACTAACTGTGGATAACAGTGAATTAGTGGTGAACCAGTAAACGTACTAGTAATGCCAGGAGAACGTTTTATTGTTATAAAATAATATTTTTTTAAATCGCTCTCCAGTGTCTCACTGTTTACTTGTACTTCCATCCTGACCTAGGTCAGCTCAGGTAAGGTCAAACGGACAAGTTCACGTTCAAGTTCAAGCGGGACTGGAACGATAGGATAGATCCCGTGAGTGTTCCTTCTTCGGCGGGTCGTTGAACCAGGAGTTGGCGAACTTTGAAATACTGATGGACCTAAAACAAAGACCGCATCACACCCTGTCCAACCAATTAATGCCCACGTATCCTGCCCTAGCAGTCCCTGCTGGGTCGGTTACGTGAAGTAAGAGAGAAAAAAGTAAACGCAGGAGGCAAACGAGAAAGTGGTAAGAGCTAAGCAAGTGGAATACCAAGATATTTGAGTCAATAAAAAAGAACTGAAAAATGAAGGTGAGTCAGCTAGGAAAAAGGAAAGGTTTGCTGTTGCCACCCAAGAGCATCGAGCTGGCGCGCAAAACCCTTAACCGTAGGTTCCCTAACCACGTGATCTGGAAGAGAATTCCAGCGATCTCTAACTCGGCGCTAAAGACGAGTTTCCGTCCTAATCCTATCAGACCGTGGTTTATGCAGTTTCAGTGGGTGACCGCGGAGACTAGGTAACGTAGCGGGACTAAAAAGCCCTGACAAGTCCGGGCCAATCTTACCCGTCAAAATACTATAAGTGAGAATCAGGTCCCCTCTTATCCTTCGGTAGTGCATGGAGTACATACCTAAACTGAGCAAGCGTTCAGGATACGTCTGTCCCCGTAGACCCTGCACTAACCGAGTGCCCACTCGTAACACCCTCTCCAAGTCCATTTTGTCTCGGTTAAGACATGGTGGACAAGCCTGAATACAATATTCCAGGTGGGGTCGGACGAATGCCGAAAATAGCTTCACAAACAACTTGGCCGTTAAGATTCCGAAAGAGCGGCGGATAAACCACATCATACGAAACCCTCGACAAGCAGCCTTCTTCCAGTTGTCTCCAGAATGAAGTGCTGATGCGTGTACGACTCCTAAATCAACCTGCTGAGTGACAACAGGGAGTTCACCACCGCCGAGGACATATCGGGTAGGAGGATTTGCAGCTCCGATTCGGAGAACAGAGCACTTGGCCCTATTTATGGGCATCAACCATAAGATAGACCATTCCCAGAGTCTATCCAAGGCACGCTGAATTACCTCAGGACCCCCCGGGATATCCACAATATTCCAGAGCTTAAGGTCGTCAGCAAACATTAATGATGACACCCCTAGCTCTCCCGGCAAGTCATTTACATAGATCGAGAACAACAATGGCCCCAATACCGAGCCCTGCGGAACGCCACTAAGGACAGCTTGCCTGAGATAGTGGCTTCCACCTAACGACCGTCCAGTTCGCGTGCCGGTAAGTGGAGCGGCTCCCGACACTTCAACGTTAGATTGACGCTTCTTGCTTCTGCAAAGGAATGAAGCAAGAACAAGTGCAATCTTTGCACTTTCATGTGTCAGCATCAAAATACACGACATATTCCAGTACAACTACAATATCCCTGGAAAAAGGATAAACCAACAATCATCTAAGCCCCTTGTGAAGGCTTCTACAGTCTCAGACGCCACTAAATCAGAAGGAAGTTTATTCCAGAAGTTAACTATTCGCTTCGTAAAAACTTTGCCCTGAAGTCCAAACGAGCTCTATGATGTTTGAGCTTCAGGCGATGCCCGCGCAGACGGTCTGTCAAAGCCAACTCAAACAGATGGGTGGGACTAATACCCCTAAGTCCCTTAATGACCTTAAAGGTCCCTATTAAACCCCCTGTCAACCTACGCTGTTCCAATGAAAATAATCCTAGGCTACTTAGACGATCTCCATAAGGCTTCCCTCGTTGACCTACGATCATCCTGGTCGCAAGTTTCTGAAGCTTTTCTATACAAATGACGTCACTCCGGAGGTACGGTGCCCATGCCTGAAAACCATATTCCAGATGTGACCTAACCACTGCTTTGTATAACGACGCGAATATTTCTGCTTCAGTGTTACTCAGCGACCTCCTAAAACGAAATAACTTGTCGCGCTTTATTGGCAACATGGCGACATTGTGCCGAAGTCTTAAAATTGTTCGCTACGATGACACCTAAATCGCGTGCTTCATCAGTACACCGCAATGGTAAAGATCCTGCAGGAGACTTAACTGCAATTCCGCTGCCACTACTGGTCACTATTTGAAATTTATTGGCATTTAGAGGTAGATCCCATTGGCTCGACCAATTCACCACAGTGATGATATCCTTAGCCCATGTCGCTCGGTTTCCCCTACTGACTAGCTTCAAGTCATCTGCGAAGATATAGCAAGGATCTTCAAGAAGAGGAGCCAGGTCATTTATAAACATATGAAACAGCAATTGACCCAGTACCGAACATTGGGGGACACCGCTGTAGGCATGGCCGACACTAGAACTCGCTTCCCCAACCCTGACTCCGAATGTCTTTCTACGTAAGAATTCGGAGAGCCATAGTAATAGTTGAGGACGCAATCCAAACCATGTCAGCTTCTCAATTAAAAATCGATGATTCACTGAGTCAAAGGCTTTACTGAAGTCCAAATAGCACACCTCTACCGACATCCCACTATCAAGACATCGGGTAATCTCGTCTAAAAGGCACAATAAATTGGTAAGACAAGACCTCTTTTTAAGAAAGCCATGCTGTTCCGCTCTAATTAGACTGTGCGCAGTCAAATGCTCACAGATCCTGTTTCCTATAAGCTTTTCCAAGCACTTCAGCCTGGTCAATCTAACAGGTTTATAGTTAAGCAGCACTGACTTAACATCTCCCTTTTGGATAGCAACAATAGTCGCCCCCTTCCAATCACGTGGCAGCTTGCCTTTTTGAAGAGACTGGTTGAATAACTCCGCTACAGGACACTGAAGGATATCAGCCAGAGGCTTAACTATGGCGGGGTGTACACTATCAGGACCAGCTGATTTATAAGGGTTCAAACTGGCCAGCGCTGTGAAGACCCCTGGCACATTGATAATAATTTCTCGCATTGTGTAGCTAGTTGAGAAGTGCGGCTGTGGTGGCAAGCCTAACCCACTATCCCTCCCATGCAGGTTTTGGTAGACAAGTAGCAGCGCTTCTACTTTATCAACGTCGCCTTCAGCCTGAGTACCGTCCTCCAAGGTTAGACAGCCGATCACCTCTCTTAGAGAAGCCTTTGTTTGGACATAACCGTAATAAAACTTAGCAGTTGTTTTCGCAAATTTGGCCAACCTAAGCTCATATGAGTACTTCGCCTGCCGCTGCAACTTAATAGCCCTGTTTCGACACCTTTTGTATTGCAACCAACGTCGGAAGCCCCGAGTTTTTTGATATTTTCTCCACTCTGCGTTGTGCCTCTTTATCGCTCCATCAACTTTTCTCCTCCACCATCGGGGTTTCCCAAGATGTCTCCTGGGGCGTAGTGCAGCAAATTCGTTCAGCAACTGTAGAAGTCCACTTTTAAGTAGAAGCCACCTCTGCTTCAAAGTGGCCTTGGCCTGTTCAGGGGTCCAAGTGATCTGAAGGGCTCGATCCCGCAGCTTCGTACGATCAATACGATTTAAATCCCTTCCCATTCGACGGCTCTCTGCAAGCCTCGGTGTGTCAAGAGAAAAGATCAAAGCACAATGATCACACTTACCTACGGGTGGCTCCACGCATGGGTCAAGCAAGTGGCCATGTATGGCGATCATGATATAAAGGATTGAAGGAGCACTCCCAGTACGACTCCTAGTCGGAACGTTGACGTATAACTCGTACGCATTTACATGCATCTAATCTACTAGTTTCTTCTCTAGAGTATGCACCCTGTTTTCAGCAAGCTGCCAATCAGCATGGGAAATGTTTAGGTCACCGGCGCTAAGGAAATTAGGTGCGGCCATTGCCGCCTGTCTTAGTAACGTACCAAGTTCCCTGCCCTCTTCTCGCATGGATGATGGTATACGATGGGCACATTCTATAATCTCCAACCTACCCCATGCTCTTAGACAGCAGGATATCACCTGAACGTCAGCAGAGCTCATGGTAAATTGAATCTCCCAGTGTTTATATTGGCACTTTATAAGCAAGAGTACTCCTCCACCAGTCTGATATCCGGGCCTGTCTGCCCTGTAGCACGCAAAGTCTATAAGCAGATCACCCGTAAGGTCATCTGGAGAAGGCCAGGACTCCGACACAGCGGCCACATCAACATGCTCACAATGCGTCACCACCCATTTGTTAAGCACACTACAGCAATTAGTGTACCACACGTTTAGTCTCTCCGGACGCGGTTGTTTCCCCTCGGACGTAGAGCCCGAGGGGATAACCCGTGTTTTTGTACCAGTTCATTTCCATCAGCTGCCTGAGTCGATGAATCAACATTGAGCTGCTGTACCGCATTACGGGATAATCCCTTTCCTGGCTTCGCCCGCCTGGGCTTGCTGGATAAACTGCAGACGGGTTTTCTCCCATTTACCTGAGTCGACCTAACAGCACTGCACTTCGGATTTTCGGTACGGCCGAGTTTAGGTGTGGCAAATATTTCGTTTTTCCTATCATTTTGTGAAATGGGCGTACCACCCATGGACTTTGGTGCCACTACTATCGAGCATCAGGCCTCGATTGTTTTTGAACGCACCGCCCGAAATTCCACTGTCACATCGTCACTATCCGCTTCCGCCACAGAGGTGTGATTCACATTTCCATCAAGAGCAAGTTTCTCCACAACCAAATGCAGACCACGAGTTATCTCACTGGCGTCTTGTGAAGTTGGTTGTCAGGACCAGCTGACTGCCCTTGCCACAGGAGAGTAGTCATTAGAGTTTTGCTTAGGTGTCTGCGTAGCGTGAGGCTCACTGTAGTGAATTCCAGCATGTGAGAATGCAGATTCGTTAG